TATAGTTATATTTAAAAAATTTTTAAATCTTTCAACTAAATGTGTTAATCAAAAAGTTTTAAGTTAAAAAATTTAACTTACCTAATTAATTAGATTTTGATTGAATTCAAATTTTAAATATGAGATTATTTAGATTATCAAACAAAATTTTTATATTAAATATTATAACTTAATTTTTTAAGCTACTTAAATAGGTTATCAAACACACCCTAAGTGTCCATAGTTTTTACTCTACTAGTAACATAATTATTCATCTTTCTCCAAATGATATGTCGTCATCCTAACTTGATAATCAAGAGCAATTATTCGAAATTCAAAGAATTGCTCTATGTGGAAAATCCATAAAGTCAAATCTTTTGAGCCATTATAACAAGGGAAATCAAGCTTCCTAAGCTTGGGAACCACCATTCTACCTATATATTTCTAGCACTAATCTATCATTGTGTTCTTTGATTCCTATTAAAGGAACCTTCTTTTTACACGTTCAATTAGAAGTTCATTGCCAATACCAATTCTTCCATCTACTTAATAAGCATTTCTTGACATACACTTAAGCCCTCCACTTGTCTTACAAGTTGTTAAAGTCATTTATCTTCAGCCATTGTTGACTTTAATACCAAAATGTCATAAGTTCATCCTCTTCCTCGACGTCATCCTTAATCTCGAGCTATGTTACTAATCGAGATTAATAAAAGAAAGAAATATGGACAATATATTGCAAGGAATAATTTTTTGGATTTTTTTAGATGCTTTATTACTCATGATCTATAGACTTTAGAGGCTTACAAATGCAAGCACGACTCGGATTAGATAACCACTAAAGCTAAAAAAATAGAAACTAAATAGATAAAGAATGGATATGTAAAGAATATGTCAAATTAGCTAAACTATAATCCACTACCGCAACTAAGTATTGACTAACTCAACTTAAAGAAATAAAACATTTGACTAACTTTACTAATAATATAAACAAGATGAGTTAACGACCAAAATAATGGAAATCTAAAGACCATAATGTAGACACATGATATTTTCTACATAAATTTAATGTTCTTGTAATTGTACTCTTGTAATTGATTTATTTTCTACTTTTGTTCATGTTTAGTTTGATTATTTTTTATACAATCTAATTTACATGGAAGGGAATTAAATTCTAAACGAGTAGTATCGTGGTTTTGATTGGAATATTTAGGTAAATTAGATAGAGAAAAATAAATTAAGAACGATGATCAAACTATTGACTTTGAATTATTCAATTTCTAAGTCAAGGATAAATGATTTAATTTATTTTCATAATTTATTTGATTTGATTGAATTAGATAAAGCCAAACCAATTGTGAAGACCGATAATGCTTGAAAAAAAATTATAGAAATGTTATTGGAGCAATCAAATAGCTTATGGATGATAATGTGATTCATCATGTATCCAAAGAGACAAATGCCTAAGAACTATAGAAAAAATTAGTGAGTATGTTTGAAAGGAAGATATCTCATAATAAAGCTTCTTTGGTTAAGAAACTCATGAATTTGAAATATCGAGATGGAAGGTCTATTACCGAAAACTTGAATGACTTTCAAGATTTAATTAATTGACTTATAACTATAAAAATAGTGTTAAATGATGAGTTAGAAGTGTTATTGTTATTTGAGAATTTGTCAAATAGTTAGGAGACTTTGGTTGTGACACTTGGTAATTTTATTTCGAATGATATTTTATCATTATTCATGGTTATAGATAGCTTGTTCAATAAAAAAAAATAAGACAAAGAAAAGTGATAGTGGATGAAGTACAAAGTCTTGTCATAGAGAACCGAGGAAGGAGTAGGAATAAAGAATTTAGAGGGCATAATAAATCCGGATGGAGATCACAAACCAGGTGATAGTTTTAAATGTTATTCACATTAAAGAAAAGGTCATATTAAGAAAATTTGCAAGGCATTGAAGAAAGAACAAGAAGAATTGAAAAAAAATAATGAGAACACCATTGCATTATTCACTTCAGATTAGGATGTTACAATACTCTCGTAAGGAGAGAAAAAGTGTAATGTTGTAGAACCTTGTTGTAAATAGGTTGCTTACTCAACAACCGCATATCATGTTACTTCAAGGAAGAAATTCTTTACTATGTACAAAATAAAAGACTTTAGCATGTCAAATATGGGAAATAATAGTTATGTTAGTGTTTTAAGAGTTAGTGATGTGTGTATAAAAGCATGTACATGCTGTAAACTAACTTTAAAAGATGTGATGCATCTATCAAATTTATGCTTGAATCTAATTTCTACTCATGTCTTGAAAATTGTTGGATACTATAATTATTTTAGTGGTGAAAGATAAAAGTTCACCAAGGATCAATGATTGTTAATATTTGGCATAAACTTTACAAGGCAAAAGTGTAAGTTATCGGACTTGTAAAGAGTGCACTTGGATAAAGAACTTCTCCAAAAGTATGGTCTAGATAACAAACTCGGATGAAAGAAAAAAGATTGACAAATAAGTTTTGTGTTATTTTTTCTAAAATGATTGCCATATATTGAGAAGTATTGAATGAAGAATATAGAATTGATATTAAACCAACAATTGGTAATGATAATGATATAGACAATAGAGTGTTGAGCAAAAAAAGCACCACTCACTTCATAATACAAAGCCTCAAGTGAGTAGGTCTATTGGTTAGTATTACTCTTTTATCTAGAATTACAATTCTATAATATCTTTTTGATGATCGAAGGGGGCTAAATAGCTTCTTATATATTCCGACTTATGATAAGGTTTAAGAATCAAAGTTTAATAATTGGAAATGAAATTGATTTTGTTAGACAATGGCAAAACGAGTTTATGATGTTGAGAATGATTGTCAAAATATCAATTACTTTGTTATGTTGACGGAATTGATTACTTACGAGAAGAACGAATTGTGTGCTAATATGACTAGCATGAATTCTAGATAATGAATTGAGATTTTTTTTTTTTTCCTCATAAGTTGAAGGGGGAGATTTGTTACGTATATATTTAAGGTCTAGTGCTTGAGTAGTCATAGCATAACCTATTAAGAAATTAAATAGAAAAATAATTAATCGGGAAAGGGATTGAAGTTAAATAGGAAATTGACTATTATAAAACTAGAACAAGAAATTTTTTTTTCTATGTAACTAGCACATGCATGCAAAAGAAAGAATTTGTATTTATTTTGTGTACAATTTCCAAAGAGAGAAATTGGAGAAGAAAAAAAATAGTTTTTCTAGTATTGTTTTTTACGTACTACGGTCACAAAAGATTATGGTCTTCAAGGTGGTGATCTCACACATTATTAGAATTTACAAAAATATAAAGATTTCACAAATTTTAAGTTTTCATGGTGAGACAGATTTAGTTAAACGGATAACTTATATTGCTACTAATATTTTTGTTTCTTAAGTTTACAAAGAAACTTTAGTTGTATTTTTTTCAAAGTTCACCCTATTGTTTCTTCCTCGTATAATAGAGACGGTTTTTCATTAAAAAAAAAATGGTGTTTTTATAGTTGTATTCTTGTGATAGATTTATCTTCTCGCTTTTATATGTGTTTGGTTTAATTATTTTCTCATGCAATCTAATTTACACAGAGTGAGATTAAATTCCCAATAGTTCTATGAGAAAAAATTTTAAATACAAAACTTAGGAGTCATAACTTTATAATTTTTTTTCTAACAAGAGACTTAAACATCTTGGAAAAGCAACTAAATGATAACTTCTAGCAAAATGAAATAGACATAAAAAAATAAGCCAATTCATAGTATGATCAGTTTCTCTATAAGAATGTGAAATATGAAAATACCACGTCCACCGAATTAGATTACAAATGATGGAAACTAGTTGACTATCATCACCTTGATTGTTACTTGAAGAAGTCAATAGTTAAATAGTCAATTTATAATCAGTTTCAAAAAGAATCGTCCATAACCTCAAAATTTAGCACAAAAACCGAACAAACTTCAATGTGATAAGAAAAATCTTAAATCTAGATACCTAATTCATCACGTAAAAGACCACCAACAATAGACATGTCGATGGAACTATAAAAGGTTCCATTAGTGTTCGGTTTAATCTAACCTCTAGGAAGCTTCTACCATCCAACAAAACCTCATGATAGCTGCAAACTAATTCATAAGAGAGGAGATTATCTCGATGCTAGTAGCAATTTTAGTAGTTAAAGAAGAATTACGCCAAACCGAATTTGAAGAAGGCATAAAATCATAATCAAAGAGGTTTTTATTTTGCCAATTCATAAAAGTCAACAATAAAAACCAAATTAGGTACTCCACAAAACTAAATTATTATGATAACTCGCTTAATAGCTAGGTTAGTCCAAAATCAATCGTTAAGGTTGAGTTCCAAAAATCATCAAACACTTGAGAAGCACCATACATATTTCAAAAGTCATGTAGCATAACAACAATCTCTTAAAACATGAAGGATATATTTCAAAAAAACCCCCACAATCCTAATCATTAGATAAACCTTTTCGAACCCTTTGCTCATTAGTGAGTAACTTATTGTGAATGGTAAGCCATAAAAAGATTTTATCATCCGAGGACCAATCTAATGCTAAACTAAACACCACCTATTATCAACAAGGCTTGTAGGAGAATAATTAAGGATCCTATGGGCAAGTTTAGTAGAAAAGGCACCGTTACTAGATAAACTCTAATGAGGTTTATCACTATGAGCATCCATCCTAAGAGAAAGAATACTAGCAATTCTCAAACAAGCGAAATTAAGAAGTAGACCGAGTATACATCATCAATAACCAGAACAAAACAACCTCCTTAATACAATAGAATAACATGCTCGAGGAATATGATGAATGTCATGATCACACAAGGGCCTAGCTTAGAAATCCAAAAATCAAGCCGGAATCGAACATGAAGACCATCCCCAATAGACCATCTAATTCCATGGCAGATCTCATTCCAAATCTAAGATAGTCACCTCTATAAATCGAAGCACCTACACAAAAAATGGTAGAAAGAGTTTGCTAAGAATCCAACTTGTACTCTTAACGAAGAATTCTAACCCAAATGATAGATTCTTTAGAAAGGATTTCCACCTAATTTTTATTACAAGAGCATTATTAATCTTTGCATTCTTCATAAACTAAGACCATCGACAAATTTGGGTTGCCATAAAGTATTCCAAGAAATCAAGGGAACTTTGTGGTGCTTTTTAGAGGTATCCATAGAAAATTACGACAACATCTTTCAATGGCTTTTATAGTATCAATTGGCAATCTATTCATTAGCTTGCTATAAACAAGAATTGTCGACAAAACAGATTAGGTAAGAGTAATCTTGCCAACTAGAAAAGGATGTCTTGCTAGCCACCCCGATAACCGCTTACCGATCTTATCAACCACATCCTCATATGTAGATTTATTAACTATGGTGTGAAGCAAAGATACCCCTAAATATTGATCCGGATCATCAATCAACTAAAAACCCGACGACCGACTAAACATCTTGGCCTTATTCTTAGCAATATTAGCACTAAAAAAAGTCATATTTTGATCACATTAACTTTCTATCTCCATAAGGAACAAAATTTGTTAAGCACATCCATAATCACAAGAATCTGCTCAATCTCAACTCCAACATATAAGATTAAATAGTCAACAAAAAACAAATGGGATAATGGAGGGCCACCCTTGCTTAAATGAATTGTCTTCCATCTATTTAGAAGAACTTCATGCTGAATTAAATGACTTAGACGCTCCGTACACGAGATAAAAATATAAGAAGATAATGGATCACCTTGCCAAATACCTCCAGAGGGTTGAAAACGAAAATAACTAACCTGAGTAGAAGCAAGTACGAAAGGGAAAATAAGCTTCAAGTGGTTCACACTAACTTTCGTGAGATGCTTATAAGATATTGCATAAACCAATGGAGAGCAATTTTTTTCAGTCAATGGAGAGGTTTTTTTCATTTTTTTTTTTTTACCAACTAATTAGGTTGTCATTAATTACTTAATGAATCAATTATGCTTAACCCCTCTCTCTTTTTTATGTATGCATGTGACTATATTGTTTTTTATTAGCCGATTAGGTTGTAATTAAACCCTTGATAAACCAAGTACTAAGCTTAATTTTCTGGTTCAAGAAAATAAAAGTCCGTTCTATGAGATAAAGGGTCAAACCATGCATGTGATGTTATTGTTAGTCTCCTCCTTTGAATCATTGACTTTATTGGCATTAGAAAGGATATGGTCCTCCTCTGGAGACGCTAAAAGCAGAAGATGAAAGGCTAAGAAAATTTGAGTACAAAGAAATTGACAAGGGAGAGATTAAGACTCGAGAGTTCAACCAAATCGAGAAGATAGATAGGCCAAGTAAAGCCCTTCTTGCACCAAAACAAGGCTGGGTTTTCTTTACAGGCTTGGCCCAGGTTGTACTGCATCCCTACTAAGTTACTAACTCACAAACCGTAATATGCAATGCTCTGAGAAACAATAGTCAAGAAATGCAGCTATGTGCGGCAGCAAGGCATTTTTCATTCTCTGAAGCATAAACAAAAAAATAATTAACCTGAATCTTTTCCTTCACTATTTCCTGAAAAGGGAATTCTTGGTGTGGAAGACATTAAACAATGTAGAATGAAGAAATAAGTACCACCAAGAAAAGGAATAAAAAGACCTCATATGGATTTTCAGGAAATATCTCCCTGCATGCCTAAAGGACAAGCATTTGTCGTGTCCTATACGTAACCCTAGAGAAAAGACAAGGAAAGCACCAAATCACCTTCAGACTGGTGCCACCTAAACATGTATGAACTATTCAGTGCCCTTCTTCATTTTTTTTTACCTATTCAATGCTCTTCCGGAGATGAAACAGACAAATTTACATCATTGGCTTTCTTTGATCTGCTTATCATTTGATAATCATGCCATTTTGTGAAACCTTCCTCGAGAGCATCCTTCATCCATTTATACCGGCAGCACTTTCCAGCTTCAGGAATCGTTAGCCAACTTCTCTGTCTAGTGCTCTGTTCTGGCCAAGATTGGAGCTCCTCTTTCACAAGCAACGCAAACATGGACGCTTTACACAGACCTTCTGAACTATACTCGTCTTGGAGGGTTTTGCTTTTGAATTCATAATGTCCCAGAAAATGCTGAAATACAGGACGATCTAAATATTAACGTAGGGAAATGCAGCTAAAATATTAACAATAACCATACCACAAGAAAAGAAGGAAGCAAGATTGCCGTGGGCAGAAATAAGCTAAGCTAAGATTGACCATGGCAGAACCATTCTGTGATATCTCTCCAAAGCAGTAAAAGAAAATGTTTAGCATCTGTTTCAAATTTCGTATTTTCAGTCGCTAATTAGCAAGGTCAGCTTAGATAAGGCATTTAAGCCTCTCATTCTATCAGTAATGGAAAACAAGGAAGAAAACACATACTTGTACCCATTTGTTTTTTTTAAAACAATCACATATGGAAGTTCCTGACTATGGTCCACCTAGATTAGCTATAAGGAACACTACAAAAAAGCAAGGTATATCAACAAGAAGCACAGATATGATCATTCAATGGTAATATATGCAAACAACTCGAGTTTGTCATTTGAATTATATTACTTCAGAATTATAAAATGAATAAAATAACGTAATTTGATGCCTTATGAGCAAGGAAATTCAAACATAGATGTATGATCTGTGGATCTTATTCATTCTGATGCATTGCACAAGTTTCTCATCAGCATTAGGATCAAAAGATGAGCACACAAATGCGAACGAACATATGCAGATACCATTTATAAATCAGATTTCCCTTGACCAACCAAATGGGACGATAAATTCACTTTTTTCTTACCAGTAAATCACCACGTACTCCAGCTTCTTCTAGAGCTTCACGTGCTGCTGCCTCTTCAACGGTTTCATCATTTTCCCAACCACCCTGTTATAAGAATAGATACCAACATCATTTTACATCTATCACATCATGACATCCAAGGAAAACGTCTATAGGAAACTGAATCTATATCATAGCAAACAGAATTGCAAGTACTTATAATTGCTGTTTTTCAAGCAAATTAATCAAAACACATTTATAACAGTAAAATTTAGAAATTACGACCACACATTTTCAAGAGCTAGAAGAGTTCTGTTACCTATTCAAGCTATCAACATTTTGTGTGCAAGGATGTGCATGTATGTGAATGTACTTATCTGCCCTTTGAATTTGATCTGTGTTATGAATGACCTTGAATTGATTCATATCATAAATGACCGGGCAACTAAAGGAAGTCTAAGTTTCATTCCTTTGCATATCTTTGCTAATCCAAACAAAAGGAAACTTGAAATGAATAACACATGGAGATAACATAAAAGAAATACCAAGTATAAATAATAAATGTAACATCATGGAGCCTTTTTTTTTTTTTTTCCTTGTAAAAAAAATACATTAAACTACATCTTCATACTGGAATTTTTTAAATTTATACCTTTGGGAAGAGAAGACCAGGCCCACTGTTTGCATTGATCATGAGAACCTCAACAACCTTCTCAGATTTGCCATCCTCATTTTCTATGGAATTTCTATACTTAAAAGGAATACACCTGCATGTGACATTACTAATTAGAATTAAAAAATGACTGAGAACATGTTTGAGAGGAAAAAAGAAGACACGATATCCAATTCTTAATAAAGTAATAAGTGATATAAAAAATTTAACGCCAAAGATCATCGTTTCATTTAGATATCCCCTTTTCTTGTTCTGGTAAAACAATGGATTCTCAAATGGTATAGCTCCTGTTTTGCCAAATGATTCTGCAGGAGTGCAGAACTACCCACCCCCTAAAAGGTAGTGACTTGTGAGGTTTAAATCTGCAACTAAAGGTAAGTTGACGGGGTTCACACACCATATGCACTAGCCTATATCACCATGCAGTTTATCAAGTAATAAACATAACCATGACTGGTTCTAGTAGAAAGCCATGAAAAGTAAACCATAAGAAATGGGGAAAAAATTATGTCCTTCTCATAGGTGAAGAAAAATTAAATAGGAGTCCAGCAATGAAAGATTTTCATTTTGTCCTCATAATTAAACAAGTGAAATTATCATTACACCAGGAGCATAGGCTCCCTTGGACAGCGGACACAATATGGGCTGGTTCCTTTCCTTGCACGAGGGAGAATAGCTTCTGGTGTATTTATAATCCCTCATCAACCATCACAAGAACAGTCAAATCTACTAACCAAGTCAGGGAATTTAAAATGAGGTAATCAAGAACCATATTCATATGGAATCAAGGGGAAGAAATCTGAAGATATGTCATCAATTGAGCTCTGCATTTTCCCAATAGATTCTGTTTTTCCCTTTTGCTAATTAACCTTCCACTAATATACAGAAAACATAGAAAGATTCTGTGATCTCCAAACACTGATTAGAGCTTTGCTAAGTTCAATTACATCAGAAGCATCTAATAATTCTAAAGCACATAAAAATCATCTCTTTTAAAAAAAAAAAAAATGAAATGACAAGAAAAGAGATGCTATTAACAGTCTAAGATTTGGTTAGTAATAATCACATAAAAAAATTTCAACATATGAAAAAAAATGCCCCATAAAATTTAATTCCTTGGCATTTTTATGCCATTAACAATCTAAAATCATTAGCAATAATCACATCAAAACTTTTCAAAATGTAAAAAAATGCCCCATAAAAAATTTAATTTTCTTCAATTTTTTTATGCCATTAAAAATCTAAAGTCATTAGCAATAATCACATCAAAACTTTTTAACATTTAAAAAAAAAAACAGAATGCCCCATAAAATTAGTTTCTTCTATTAGTCCCTACATTATCCCATTATTGATTAACGAATTCAATAAACTAATCAAAACCCATCAAGCATATCTCCATTAATAAACCAGCAATGCCAAATATTTGTCCAATAAAATAAATAAATAACACCCCACCATGCATGCATTTAAACAAACACATAAAGAGAAAGGTGTGAAAATTACCCGGCGACAAGCCGACAACCGGCTTCATAACGTTGCAGTTGGCGGCCAGTTCGAGCCACCAATTCTGTCATTTGCCAAATATTGTCAGAACTGAGAAAAAAGAAACAAGAAAAAACCGCTACAAAGACAAGAACCTCTCGAATTTGCAAAAAAAGGAGAAACAAGAAACAAGAATCGCAACCATAGTGAATTATACACTCTTTGTTTCTCGAAAATTCAATAAAAGGAAAGAAAAATTATTGAATTTTTTCTGTTCTTTTCATTTTGCCGCTAATGGCAATAAATTTATGTGATTCTTAAACGTAACCGCCAGTAACTGGAATAACCGGTTAACCGGTTGCAAGAAAATGTTTTTTTTTTGGTTGTTTTTTCGTTTGACCGTTTTAGATTCGAAGGAGAGAGAGTTTTCTTAGCGCTTGAAGCAGTCAAAAGAGCGAATTTGAGAGAGCCACTGGTAATTAATTTTTATCGCATCCTATTTTAGTTTTTTTTTTTAATTATGAATTATTTTATACTTTAATTCATATTAAGTTTTTTTTTAATTTTATTTTAACAATCACATCACATCTGCTTATGAGTTAGATAACAATTTTGTTTTTAGTAAATCACAATAGTTTCTCAAATGGCATGTCCACCAGAGAGATGGGCCTCAAATGAGATATTCAGATACCAATCTACATATCTGATGTAGTAAAAGTTATCTCAAATGGTGGATTTAAGAAATTATAAGGAAAAAAACGGATACGATTTGTTGTTATATAATAGAATAGTGTCTAATGTGTTGTTATCTGCTAATATGTTCTTTTAGTGATAATTATTAGAAAAAATTACCTAACTTCCATATGATTATTATTACTATTTTAAATATCCTTAAAAAATCATGACTTGCACACGTTCAGATGAGAAATATTAAAAAAAAAAAATCATGTACGAGTTATTTGACTTTTTGCTCAATAGTTTAGTTAAAATAATATAATAAAAAGCATAAAAATTCACTTAAAATTTAAAGATATAATTAATTTATTTTAAAATATATGAATATTGATCTCATTATGTACACATACCACATTAACATTAACAAAAACACCGAAAGAGTGTAATATGTTACTATGTGTTTAAATGTAGCTAAAGGCTTAATCGTATTATGAATTCACACCTAATTGTACTCGTTTGTTTTACTGTGTTCTTTCCTTCTCGCAATGGAGTTGCTGGATGGATTGTTGTTTTCCAACAAGTTATTGGATTGGATTATTGTTTTCTAGTTGTTGCTTTTGTGGTTTTTCTCTTCTTCTTTTTTTCTGATTTTTTTAGGCTTCCGTGCTTGTTCAAGTTGAAGTGTTTTTGGCAATCTTGGCTTAATTTAATGAGGTGGCTTGCTTCTTGCCCTTTAGTTTCTTTTATATTATCATTTTTGCCGGTTAATGGTTTTGTGTAAATACATCTTTACCCTTATTTTTTCTATTTGCTTTTTATTCTTTATGCCTTTTTCTGGTCATTAAACATTTTTGTTTGGCAAAGCATTTAATGCTACTGCACGTACTCTCTCTCTCTCTCTTATTTTTTTCTACCACTATTCCATTTATCTTCCTACCCTTAATTTTTTTTTTTATTATTGATGCAACCCTTAACCTTTTTTTGTCTTTAATGTTCCCAAAAAAACTCTAACCTTACAAACCCTAACAACTACCTAGTTATCCGCTTTACTTTCAAACCTTGCTCGCCTCCTCTCGTGCAATTCCATCAAACAAAGACTTCAATTTCTACTCAAATTCAAACTTTTCATTCAAGAAATCACAAAGTTGTTGAAATCGTTGCTCGAATCAATTTCTTCCTCAAGATCACCCAAGCTATGTCTATGAAAACTAGCAAAGATCAAGTCAAGACCCATCACCTATTTTTTTTAGAAATTATGGAAGAAATCATGAGACTCTTTAAATCACTACCATCAAGACCTAAATTGAAAAAGTTAAAGCAATCATTTTTTTTTTATCAAGACTCGCCAAAAATGAAGAGCATGCAAGTCTTGATGATATTTGAGAGAACGAATGTCCTCAAGACATCCTACAAGAGCCCTTCTTTGTGTTATAACAAGCAAGAGAGACTGTCGTATGATGTTAAATATGTTTGAGAACTCCAATGGGATGATACACGAGTTTCTTCAGTGCTGGTTTATGAGGACACTTTGTAATACCTCGGACTCTAAACATTCCTATGCATTAGTGTGTTTATTTTTTAAGTAAGTATATGATAAGGTTTGTGCTTATTTTGATGAATGCTTGGCATTGCAAATGTATGTTAATAAGTGTTATATGTGTGATTGATTAAGAGACCTAAATGTAACAATTAAAAAATAGAGACTTTAGTGAACTAAGTAACAAAATAAAGTAATTAGTACATAAAGTTGGTCAAACTTAGGAGACTTAGAAATATAACTTGATTTAGTGTACCATACGTGTGTAAACCTAAAAGTAAAGCTTAATTAGTATCATATATAAGTGTTAGTCTATGTTAGTCTAGGTTAATCTAAAAAGTTCCATCCTTAATATCTAAGGATAAGTATATTAATTATGTAGAAAAATCTAAAAATACTTAATACTTAAGTACATAATATTTAAATATAGAACACCTTAATTAAAGCAGAAAAAACATCTAAAATTACTTAAGACTTAAGTACTTAATATCTAAGTACAAGTTTGTTTTACTTAATACAAGTTCCAAGTTTACTTCCATGAACTTTCTAGGTCGGCAAAGAGGGCAATGAAAAAAAGAGAGTAGCTAGGCCTTCGACACAAAAACAACAAGAGAGAAAATAAGAGAGAAAACTAGAATTGCCAAGGAAAACCAACTTTGCTAAGAAAGTGAGAAAAAGACTTTGGTCGAGAAAGAGAGAAAGGGAGAGTTTAGTTGAAAGGAAGGAAAAGAGAGGGACTTTGGCCGAGAGGAAAAAAGGGAGAAAGAAGAAACCTTTGAGAGCTTTAGGACTAGCCAAAACCTAAGATAAGTGTAATCTCACCACATCACAAGACATAAGTGTTGTAGGATTGATGTGTTTATGTGTTTACTTGATGATTGAATATATGTGATTATATGTTTACTTAATAATTAGTAAGTGTGTTCTAACTCACCACAAGACAGAGGTATTAGAGGTTTGTTGTGCTTATGTGTTTCACTTAACCATTAATTGTTTAATATGTTGTGTTCACATGTTTAATTGATAATTGAACTCTTGTTATGTTACTTGATGGATTTGAGTGCATAATTATGTTTGAGGATAGTTGATTATATGTTCATGACAAGATTATACTTGATGATACTTGGTTATATATTATGTGTTTACCGAAGGTCCCGTATTTAGAATGTATTCACGTCATGAAAATATTTTCATCATGTTTTCATGCATATAAAGAAAAATTCAAGTGCATGTTTTCAAGAAAAAGGCTTGCAAAAAGAATGGTCTAGTGTGTACTTTTTGCAAGGTGTATTCAAGAGGGCATATAAAGGGAATGATCTAATGTATACTCTTTGTATGTTTTTGACATGCTAAGAAAATGATCCGGTGTATACTCTTAGTATGTTCAAAGAGGGCAAGATAGCATACAAAGAGAATGATCTCGGTGTATACTCTTTGTATGTACAAATAAGGCATACCAAGGGAATGATTTGTTGTATACTCATATGTTAAAGGAAAACTCACAAAAGGAATAATCGGTGTACACTCTTTATAATGATGATAGAAAATGTATTTTAGCATCATAAAAATAAACTTACTTGCATTCATGCATGTTTACACTTACTTAGTTTTAACTCACAATTGTCTTGTGATGTGTAGGTAAGCTAATGATGCATGATGGCGTTGTGTGAAGTTGAAGATACCATTGGGAGCAAGCCAAGTTTGCCAAGTGTGTAGTATAAATATTGGATTAGAATTTAAAGGCTAAAAAATGGTAAAATGTTAATGCATAAAAAATTTTAAAAGTTAATGAGATGGTTTTAACTCCATTATGCATTATACGATGTAAAGGACATGAGACTTAGTGTCTCTTATTCATTGCACTACAAGTTCGAGGCATTACTAATAGCATTCTTGGCCTTCTTTAGATCGAGGGTGTTATAAAAGTGGTATCGGAGCAATGATTCCGTTGACCTATATTATACATGCAAACTCAAGCTTCCACAACATCATCAACATGTAAGTATTTGATAATTGTGCATTACGTTTACTTGATGAATTGTACCAATATGTTTAGTCTTTATTGCATTTTATGGATATGTTTAAGTAAGTAAAATTCGAGGATGTAATTTTTGTGAGGAGGAGAGGATGTAATACTCCGTAATCCAAACATTCCTATGCATTAGTATGGTTATTTGTTAAGTAAATATATGTTACTCGTCACTATCCGATACTCGTGGGACTTCCAAAAATAATATAAGTTAAAATTTATTTGTTTAGGGATGTGAGTTAAACTAATTTTTTGGAGTCGACACCTAGTATTAAAGAAACTAGGAACCTAAAATTGACATGGGTCTAGAGATTTTAGGGCAAGGAGTTTGTTATACCTTAGGAAAGATATCAATCATCCAAAGACACTATTTTCGAGAAAAAGTATCACGTCTAGTTTATCTCCTAAAATTTTTATTTTTTTACCAAAATATTTTTGAGTTAATTTCCAAGTTTATTATTTTAGCTAAATTAATTTTTTATTTTTATTTGTATTATCGTATTGAATTGAGTATTAGATCCCGACGTCAAGAGTCTCGTAAATCCAACATCGAATCTAGTTTAAGTCTTGATATAATCAAAATGTCAAAGAATGATCTAATTACTAAGGATAATTAATTTATTCTAACATCGGTTCTTATTGGATAGGAGACTCATTAAAATTGTTTAAAATGATTTCTTTCTTTTTTATTCTTTTCGTATTTTATTTTGAACTATGTAAGAAAAAAATTATCAAAATTATTTATTTTATTTTTTTACAGCATCGTACGAAATTAACAATGAGCTCTTAAATTTAGGAGTCTTATCGGTTTAACGTTGGATCAAAATTAAAGTTTCGACATGATTGACATGTCAAGGAATGACCTAATTAACTATAAAAGTTTACACAAAATGTTAAATAGAATCGACCCAAATTGATTCCTAATTATTTTTTAGTATTTTCATTGTTGGATAAAATATCATAACCATCATTCGTTTTTAATAAATAGAAGACTCATTGATCCGATATCACAACCGAATCAACTTCATACATTAAAATAAATCTCACAATCTAAATATTTATAGATTTTCTAACATGAATAAAATTAACATTATTACAAAATATTATCATAAAATATTTATTAAAAAAAAAGGATAAGAAACTAAACCAAATGGTCACTAGACAGATGACCAAATTGCCCCTACAATGCTATTAAAAATGACCAAAATGCCCTTATGGTCAAAATTATCAAAATGCCCTTATATGTTAAAATTACGAAACTACCATTCAAAACCCCTATACTACTATTGCTTTCTCCGACACCATCCTCCGACATGTCAACTAGTTTGCATGAGAGGGGAGGTTGTCGTTGGTCGTACCATGGTGGTCTTGTTGGTCGCCATTGACAATGAGAGAGATCGAGCTCATTGAAGATTCGATCGTGACTCCCTCTCTTCTCAATAGAGATTCCGACCATAGCGAGGCAATGAGAGACCAAGTCGCTCAAAGGATCACAATGAGCATTTTTAAAATGGTTAAGAGGTTAGATTTGGTCGGATCAAGGAGATTTGACCAAATTTGGAAGAAACGAGGTAAACAGATCGGTCGGTTGCTCTTTCTTGTGATTCAATCGATTTCGACGAGATTTGTCTATGATTTCAAGGGGAGAACAACTTATAGGAGGATAAGGGACACTTTTGCGGTGGTGGGATGTTAGTTTAGCCGGAAAATGATTATAACAAAATCCATACCTTTCGATCTTTGATTACCTTTGCATTTGATCATAATTTGATGGATTTTTGGCTTCATCATTCAATATCAATCAATTTGGCACCATTTTAGCCATATAAGTATATATATATATATATATATTGTCATTATTTGTTATCATGTTGCACTTCAATTTTGATGGTTTTAAATTTTTGTTTTGAGGTTTCTTCTAATTATTAAATGTTAATTTTATATCTCCGAGTTAATTTAACCATCCTATGAATGGAGAATGGTAGCAAAGAAAGGAAACCATTTCGTGATCAATAAACAAACTTTTTATGTTAGCAGATTTAACACATATTGACTAATGGTTTTTGCTACCGATCAACCTTTTAAGGTTTGGCGATGCCAAAGCACAACACTCAATATATCAAACTAATATTTTATACTTCAATCACCGAAATACAAATATGTTTCAATAATTAAAGAAGAAAGACTTGATATATTACAATCGATACTTGATCCAAAAAGTTCTAAGGTGCATCATTATCTTACGAAGAGAAAACATAGGTCAACTAATGTAGATTTCAATAATGGATACGATGACTCATTGGTTATGCTTGCTTTTCTTATTATGCTACTTGCAAGGATTGCTAGCTTGGTTTTTTGTCTAATACTCTTTAACTATTTTTTTAACCAACAAATTTTAGATTTTATAATTTTCTTTCTACTTCTCAATAGTCTTGCATCATCCAATTTTCAAAAGTTTACTTTTTTGGTGTTATTAAATTGGCTTGCTATTTTCTTTTCACATAAACAATTTAAACAATATGCACTTACTTTGTACAAAATCCATGACTTCTTCATTAATAGTATTTATTGTTTTGTTCGTATATTCCCTCCAACAAAAGTTACTTTACTCGTTTATATTTAACCACAATAATTATCATATTTTGATATTGCTGATGTCAGCTTTTTATTTTGATTATCTTTGTGTCTAATGATCTTCCTACTTTGATTTGCAAATCTTGGCTATTTTTATTCTTAGTGTGTGTGTGTGCATGTGAGTGCATGCGCATGTGTGTGTTATTTCTGTTTCTCATTTATTATTTTGCTTTTTAGCCTCCAAATGATGAGTAGGTTGACTTTGTAACTTTCTAGCCCTAGTGACTAGTTTGACTCTGTAACTTTCTGCCCCTCACTTAGTTTGTCTTTGTGAGTTGTCACATAATTTCAACTTCTTCTTTTTTGCTATATATATATAATTTGTCATTCATTTGAAATGAGCATAAAAATTTATTACAATCCACTAACAATCATATATGTTGTCTTTTACGAAATCCATAGTTTTTCAATCTCTGATTGCCTTACTTTCCATGCCTATCATAGTCTCCTTCTCCTTCTTATCGTTAAGATTGATTTGACTCTTTATGGATGTTATAGTTTCCTTCTCCTCCCCATCATCAAGACTGATTTGATTCTCCATGGCTGCCTTAGTTTCATTACTCTCCTCATCATCGAGGCTGGTTTGATACAGGAGCGTAAGGAGTTGAACCGATAAATCATGTTATGGTTACCTTAAAAAATCACCTTTGCTCTTGTTAAAAACTATGTAGGCACGACTGATAGCCTCCCTATTGTACCATCATGTGCAGCTCCTAGAGACATAGCGTATTCTAAGAACCTACCAAAATTGTGGATTTTTCTTGCAGGCTGATCATATCCAAACGAGGTTTTTAGTTTCCTAATATTGTTTAGGGCAGCATCAACTTCTTCGTAAAGGAATTGAAAGAGCATGAAATGGTACTCATCACTGTAATCTCTTTTTCTCTTCAACTCTAACCTTTTTAGGTTCTAAAAAGAAAAAAAAAAAAAAAAAAGAGAGAGATGGATTGTAGTTTTTAGAGAAGGTGAGAGATTTTATGTGTTGGTATTCTGAGAAATCAGTTGTAAAAAAAAAAAAAAGAATTGGAATGTAAATGTTAATCTTTAGAAAATTCAGGTTGAAAATATATTGACAGATAAGGAAATTGTACCAATTACCTATTTGAATAAAATTCATTTACGAGGTAGGATAAAAAGAAACTAAATATTATAGCCAACTCATAGTCCGAATTGAGAGAGGAGAAGTATAGTGACTTTAGATTTTTAGACTTCCACTTCCCTAAAACCTCAGTTGAAATTCTCTATGGCATTAGGGAAGCCAAATTTTGTACTAAATATCCATATTGATTTACTCTAATGGCATATAGAAATATAATAACAAAAGGTATCCTTTAGTATCATTTTGGTTTTCTGTTTTTCAAAACCGAATTTAGAAATAAAAACAAATAGTTTGCTTGATTTTGTATTTCATTTTCAACAACATAAAAAATCAACAATTAGTTGTCAAAAGTTTTTAAAACCAAACAAAATGGTTTCAAAAAATGGTGAGCAAAAGTTATCTATTAATTCAAATCTTTGCAATATAAGTCAATGACATCATTTTTTTTATTTTGTTTAATTGCAGAAATCACTATGAATTCAAAAAATAATATGGAATTGCAAGTTCAAGTTTAATTTATATTTTCATTTTGTTATATGCAGATGTTAAACGATTAGATAGAAGGGAACAATTCAAGTAGATTATTTTTTCTCCTTCTCAATTTTAATATTTACACTATGGTAAATGTATTGATTTTTAAATGGTAATTTGAGTTTGAAAATCTTAATTTCATTTTATAAAAGTATTAGCGTAACTCCTACATTTCAAATTGGTATTAATTCTATTTACATATAGCAACAAATAACTTATAGTTGTTACTTGAATTTCTTTTCAATTTGAACAATTGCACTGTGATAAATGTATTAATTTTTAAATGGTAATTTGAGTTTGAAAATCTTAATTTAATTCCATAAAAATATTTGTGCAACCCCTAAATTTGGAATTAGTATTAATTCTATTTATATACAGTAATAAATAACTCATAGTTATTAGTTTTATTACAACAATAATGATTACTTTTACCAACTTAAAACAAACTAAAACAAGTTTATAATATGGCTGGTTTAACTATTTACTACCTTTTTTTATGTGTTGGAATAAATGACAATACAACTTTTGCAAATGATTTTCTTTGTATGTAACAATATTTTCATATGTTACACACATTAAATTTTTTATTTTTTTTTTTTACTCTGTAAATGAATACTAATTTTTTTTTTAAAATACTTTTATTTGTTCTATGTAACCCGCAGCGCAGTCCGGATCACAAACTAGTCATTATAAAAAAAAATAGTTAGCATGTTTTGCAAGTGGAATTCTAGTCGTGATAGAGATCTGAAAGTTGCAATTTGGGGCAGCCGTATAAGGAAAAGCCACAGCTACTATACTACTAGGAAGGGGTAAAAACCATTGATTTTGGTGGCTCGTGGGTTATGTGATGTTTTGCCTTTTTTTTTTTTTTTTTTTTTTTTTTTTTTTTAAATCCACATTTATCTTTTTCAACTCATCTTCCGTACCAACAACGTCCTCTTTTTATTTTTGTTGTTTATCATGTTAAACTTGCAATTTTTTTTCTTATAAAATACGTGAACTTAAAGGAAATACTAGAGTAGATTATAAGTTAATCCTTTTGTTTTAAAAAATAAATTAATTAGCTTTTTTTATTTTAAAAAATAATTATTTAATTTTTTATATTTTAATTCCATCAATAATTTAGTTTTTCTATCAATTTTTTTGTTAGATTGATGATTTTTTAAAAAAATATCTTTTTTTAATGTTTTATTTTTCTTCTTCACCCTCTCTCCTTCTATCTCCTCAACCAAAAATCAAAAGAAGAATAATTTGAAAATAAAAATTACTAATTTAAGAAAACATTATAATTTACTAGGAATTACTATAATTATGCTTTGAGTGAAAACTCATCTAACTGATGATATCGTAAGGACCAAAATTGTAATAAGATGAACCCATGCATTGCTCACGAGATCCAAAAGTAGTAGTTACAACAAACGGGCAATGCATAATGCTCAACCCATGCAGCCCAAAAGCTTCGAGCCCAAGCCCCACATTGATAAATTTTATTTTTCGCTCTCACTTATATATATATATATATATATATATATATATATTACTAAATTATTGCATAAATACTATATTTTTATTAATATTTTTCAGTATAGCCTTCTTTTCTTATAGCCTTACCTTAAAAATAATGCCAAGCTTACCAACTGAAATGGTAACACTCGGCAATTATTTATTTCTTATGAGCTTCAAGTTTAACTTTCCTTCTTCTTTTTTTCGATTAAAAAAAAAAAAAAAAAACCATGCCTTCCCCAATTCTTTACCTAGGCCCAAATTGTTTCTTGCTTTGCTAACCGCATCATGGCCCATAATCCTTCCAAAGTCCAATTGTGACTAGTGATATGTACCCACTAAAAAGAGGGTAAAGTCCAGCAGGCCCAAAACTAAATAATGAATAAATAATTATAAAAGAAGAATGCTGCGAGAATTAAAATTCCTTAAGTACTGCTGTTTAGCTGCCTTTGCTAATTGATGTTGAAAAAATGTGCTCAATACAGTTTCTCCAAGGAAAAGGGAAGAGAATAATGAGCTTCAACATTAAAAATTCCAATGCCTTGTTGTTAATTAATCGAGGACATAAATAGTCATAGTAGGAAATGATGCTGAAAGCATGTTTACCGCAGGTTCCTTGATCAAACGTTTGACTGCTGCTAATCTCATCAGTACTGCTTCACAATGTCTAATAATGAAGAGGACGTTCCAACGATAGCACAAATGATGCCCAGTGCAGCAGTCATGGAGCTCAAAACAACCTGTTTACGGACAAAAAAAGAAAAAAGAAAACGGTAATTACTAATCGTTTCAATACAAAGTTTGTCACGAGAAATACTAATCATAAAGCCAGTTGAAGGTAAATAATTAGTTGAAAGTCCGCTTACATTTCTTGTTGTAGCTTTCTTCCCCATAATCTTTAGGAAGCATAAAGCTGGTAATATTACTGCCTGCATAAAGCCACACAAATGATAAAAAAGGGATATCAAAGACCAGAGACAGAAAATTGATGAGAGCAAGTATAGCAGGCGGCAACAAGCTCGGTCATGGAAGCAAATGTTGATTGGAAAAATGCAACTCCCATTCAGAAATCAAGTCAGATTTCCATACCCATATGACAATCACAATACAAGTGAGAATGATGATTATCGTCCTAGGTTGTTAACCAAGATCATAATGTTCCAACACTGCTTGTTAATTGTTATACTAAACAAGAATACCAGTTAAAACATTTTGGACTTGCAAGGAAAATAAAAAAGTGTTATTCTATAATGTGCAACACGTTTGCTCAAAGGTTTACACTTACCACAGATAAACTGAGGACAGAACCCACCAAAGCCATTGCAAGACCTGTAATGAAGACCATCATGACGTCCGACTTCAGTATATTTTAAAAGGATGGAAAAAAGATATGTTTATTTTGAATTGCCTCTAACTATCAGTGGAATCGGAAGAAATTTTTTTTTTTCTAGAGCATATTAGGACTGGCTGCTTCATCTAACAAACTATGCGCAGAAGCAGAACATTTATCTCCACAGATTATGATACAAGACAATAATTTGCAAGACAAATTTCACCCTGTGAAGAATTAGAGATGGAACCAAGAAATGAAGATTTGACCAGAGCCGACTTTTGATATTTACCAAAGAAAGGAATAGCGAAAGCAACGCATACAGAAGATGCAACAAGCACTGTTCGTAGAAGAAAGTAGCACCACAAACTATTTGAAACTCTATCAGGCAGTAGCTCCTCTATACTCCTGGCCAATGGGTTCATCAACAGTGCATATTTGTAAATTGTCAAGGAAGTAAAGAGGATCATTCAATAAAGCCAGGAACAAACTATTCATTCAATAAAGCCAAGAACAAACTATCATATCGTAACGAAATCACTCCCTCATAATGTGAGATAGAATCACCATTTATTCGTCAATCTTTTCACTGAAAAGCTGATAAAGAGACCTCAAAATCTCACTGCAATAATAGAAAATCATATCTACTGCTTTTCATGATTCAACAAATTAGTTCTCAAAAAGGATATTTGGTGAGTGGGTTGGTAACCTGTGAAAAAGAAGAAAGGAATCACACTTCAGTGACAAAATAAATCTTACAGTAAGCCCAGGAAGAATCTGAATCTTATACTTACTGTAGTCCACAAAGCAATTTTTGATGTAAGGGTGTGTGCTGGCATATTCAAGGTTATTTGAGACAATGTACGCTCACCAAACATGAGAAATCCCAGGGTTGCAACACCCCCATAAACCACAAAGCTCAATAAAAAGCTGTAAAAAACCAAGAAAACTATGAGACAACAAGGCATTGAAAAGGCATCTGAGAATGGATGAACCATACTTGAACAAAGTTTTATACCAAGCTATGACCGCTTTGGTAAACTGTCTTTTATCAGCCATTGATTGATAGATATTTGGAAGCACGGAGTGAGCTGAATAACAGAACCCATGAACACCAACAATAAATGGAATACCACTCCACTTCACCAGTGGACCATTTTCATGGAATCCAACTCCATCGACCGTACCAACCAAAATTAGACAAAGAACAATCATCATCGTAGCTAAAACCCCACAAGCTGCAAGACAAAGATGAAAAAAAAAATGTCAGGTAAAATGTGTAAGAATACATTGATACTTCAATATTTCAATACAAGAGAGACAAACTCATGACAGAATAATTATGCATTACCTGAAAGGTATGAGATCAGACGAAGATCCTTTAGCCAAACAGTTGGTAGGACAATAAGAGCAACTATAATTCCAAACAAGTGCGTAGAGTCAAGATGAATGCCAACGGAATCCAAAGATGTTCCAGGGAAGAGGCTGGAAAGATTATCGCCTTCCAAAATAATAAACTCTACACAATATGACTGCACAAATGGACAAGAACGATCTCAGTAATTAGCTTGAAAACTAATTGCATATGTACAATAGAAGAGACTTTAAATCAGAATCAATGTTTCACTTACATATAATTCTACGTACAAAATGATCTGCACCAAGATCCAAGATTACAACATTAGAAGAGAACATGAAAGCATGAAACCATTAAAAGAGAAGAAAGTAAATATAACCTATTGCTTATATCAGCATTATTTTCATTTCCAAGATTATTAATTTTGCTAAACCTTCCAGATATGTATGTATCGCAGTGATTGATGAAATTGGTAACAAGGAAGACAGTATTCTGCCTTTGAAGTTTCAAGAAAACTCACTGATATTACTAGCCGTCCGTATTTCCCGAAGGCAGCTTCTCCTATATCAGGGTAGCTTATGATGCCTTCCTTGCTCTCAAAACAATGTCTCATAAGAACGGCTGTGTAACAACACACAAGCGCAAAAACAGCAAGTAATAGCAAACTAACCCAGCCCCCTTGTTTCACAGTATAAGGCATAGAGAGAACCCCAACTCCAACCATTACATTAAAAGCTGTTCCAAAAAATGCCGCCTCTCAACATCAACCCAAAGAACACAGAACCAACAAAATTAAAGTTCACATATTATATAGGACTAATTGAAAAAGGGACATACAATTGAAGACAGTTTGAGTGAAGCTACATCCATGAGGAAGAGGCAATTCTCCAGTATGAAATGAAGCTTTTGAAAATGATGACCGAGCTATTGAGATCCTATCCAACTCTCCCTTCTGATAATTCTTTTCAACATCGGACAGAAAGGGAGTCTTCACATCCGCTTCTAAATTACTTTCAGTACAATGTTCAAGACTGGAACTCCGGTTAATCGATCCACGTCGAAGAAATCCAAAATTTGGTGACACTGAGATTGTGTAAGGATCGACTGTTTCTCTGCCATAAAATTGCAAAAGGAGACAAGGTTATAAGAAATTCTACTCGAACGCATTGCATTCTAGTGGAGAATGCATCTCAGAGTTTGTCTTTTTAGACAAAAGAACAGGACCGGCATTGTCGAAGTTCTTCGATTCAATTCTTAATTAGACCAGAAAAGAAGAGAATCCCCTGGCTTATCTGTCTCTAAACCTAAATGGATATATACATTCATCAAAGAATATATAATGCTAATCTTACTAAAAGATTTTTTTTCCTCGAAAATTTCAAATTGAATGCAGAACTAGTGGGATTTATTTATTTATTTATTCACCAAGGCATGAGATTTTTCAGAAAGAAATTGATCAAATAACCATTACTTCTATTCATTAAAAAATCAAATTGCATACCTGAAACTTTGAGGCCATTGGTGAGAAGAGAAAGTCCCATATTCCTCACCACCGTCTTCACCACGATCACCATCATTATCACCATCACCATCACTAATACTACCGTTACTTTCAACCCCGTTCGAACCTTCTACGTCCTCGTCACCCTCTTCTTCATCCAAGAAATACTCTTCTGCTTCTGCCTCCTTACCTCTCTCTGCCATATTAATTATTATGTTCAGTAGGAAATCGAAGAAATTAACCAAACAGCTAACAGCTAGAGAAGTAAGGTTCCAAAACTAATTATATATATCTTAATTGATAAGGGGGGCCTTGTCGGACAAGAATTGGTTTCGGTTTTTGTGGCTTTGGTTATTTTTATTCTGCTTTTCGTCCATGAATTTGGGTGGCCAAAATTAGAAGTCGAGAAGATTACGGCAAGTGACCAAAAACACAGCAACCTTTTTCGTGGACTTTAGTTCCCTGTACGTAGACGAGAAACGATCGACATTCTGTCAGAAAAACGGTGGCATTATTATCTACACTCCTTTTTTTGTTTTTCCTCTTTTATTAACATTAAGGATATTCATGCATCAGAGGAGTCCTGTCCAAATCGAATTTTAAACGCATCATATGCGGTTTTTCTTCGTCTTTACGCTCTGTACTCTTTAAAAAGAAAATTATTAAGATTTTCTATTTTTTATTAAAATTCTTTAATCCTCAACATTTTTTCTTCAAATCTTTCCTCGTAATACCATCAATCAATGAGTGATACACTACTTCTACTTTTAAAAAAAATTATTTCATAATTCTCTAATTAGAATGAATAAATAAATCTATATTGATTGCCTTTATATATTGGTTTTTGTATAAGCCAATATGGTGAGATTTTAGAAATGTATATAAATGGTTTTATCCGATGCATACGGGATCTATCTGTGTTCATATTTATTTTTATTTTTTAAAATTGAATTAATATGTCAAGTAAGGGTAGTTTTATTAAATTTCTTTTTTTAAAAAACCACTTGTAAAAAAATCTCATCAATTGAATGATTTCACTAATAAGTCTTATAAATTCAAATTTTGATTTTTTTCTACAAATGGTTTCATGAATAATTTACCTGTAAGATAAAATAATTGGTTATAAAGCATTCAGAGCTACTAGTCAATTGAAAAAAAAACTTTAATATTTATTTATTTATTTGAGTTCTTAATTTTTTTATTTTGTAATTAATTATTTTCTTTTTGTTAAACAATATCAAACTATATTAAATGCATGTTAAAAAACATTTGAAATCATAAAACAACTATACATATTCTATATTTAGAATTTTCAAAACATATATTGATATTTAGCTTCATATGTGTCTCATGTTGCAAGAAAATTAATTAATGAGATGAAAATTTTTAATTAGGGACTAAAAAAAGTTAAAGAAAAAAATCAGAAAAGAAAAGTTAAAAGATGTTTTTCTTTTTAACCAATAGTTTATGCTGTTTTATAACTAATTATTAGTTTTCTCTTTATTATACAGGACAAGAAACGAAAAGGAGAGCTGTCGTTATCTCACAGGCAGAAAGTTCGCGTCGTAACTGGATTTTCTCGTCAACAGCGCTGTACCGTCTTTTCCTTCGATGCGAGACCACGTCATCACATGTGGATCGTTCAGCAGGTTATCTGCGTTTGTACTTTGTTGTTTTGTAAATAAATATGCAGGAGTCCGATTATGCCACGTGTCAGTGGATCAGATACACGTCCTGCATTTGGACAAAAAGAGTAATTAACATCCACTTAAGAATGATGTGCAAGTGCCAACAGTGAATGCCAGTTGATATATATATATATATATATATATATATATATATATGTGTGTGTATGTATAGAAATTTCTGTGTATGTTTTGTAACTATCACTGTCACGATCATCGAAGCAACCAGTTAAATTACAAAAACATAAAGTAACTTTTATAATTTATTTAATAAATCTATTTAACAGTTTGTAGTCCTTCTTCTTATTAAAAGGACCATTAATGTTTTGAATTTTATTGTATTTATACAATAATATTACTAATTAACATAGTTAGCTCCATTCCTGTTCAAGTGATCAGGATTCATCACGTTGGTTTTGTTTAGATAACTAATAGATGCTAGTTCAATGATAGAGAATCATGGAACTTTATAATATTTGATAAATAATAATATGAAAAATGTTTTGACATTGGAATGATGATAGGTAGTGATTAAAATAATAAAATTAATTACTTATTTGATGTTGGAAACTTGATTGTTGCTATTAATTATGTGCTTTAAACAATCTAAAGAAATAATCTTCATGTTTATTGATTATGTGTATTAAAGAAGGAGGGGGGGGGGGATTCCTTACGTAATGACTCCAAGATTTGCTCGTTATTAATTATTGGGCCAAACCTATCAAAATTACACCACCTTAATTAATTAAATAAATCTCAATTCCAAACTAATTAAAATTGTGTTAATGCGTTTCTTAATATATCATCAAGAACCCATCTACTATGTTCTTTCTTTCTATGTACGTATATGTTTTACTCATATAAGCTTCTTCCTGGCGTTGCTTTCTAGGAAAGAATGATATATACTTTGCTCAACCTCCAAGCTTCATTGCCCTATGGATCACATAAAACATACAATTAACAGCTCTTCTTATTACTTTGATCAGCCACCAAACTTCATTCTAATAATTTTGCTAAGGTGAAAATATATGGGCCAGTCCTTGAAGAAATTAGCTCCTGGTATGCGTATTCCAGACCTTCTCTGTTTTTTTTTTTTTTTCAAAATATAATTGCTGATAAATACATAGATGCAATTATGTCATTAAAAGATATCTTCGATGCATTTTTTTGGAATTTTGACGTTTTGGAAGTCTGCTCATAAGAATAAATGAAATCCAACAGGGCTATTGTCGAATTCAAGTTATTTTAAGGCTAGGGCTTTGAAAATTGAAGGTGCAGATGAACTGTTGTCAATATTGTCTAAAGAAATTGAGGAAAATATTGGTGCCAAAGAAAGTAAGAACAACACCTGAAAATCCTAAAAATTAATGAATTTTCTACTATATATCAAGAAATCATATATAGAAACATTTCGACTTCCTAAAAAGCTTTTGATACTTATGATTCCATTCTGTTAACAGTTTTTTTTTTTTTTATTGAGATTTGTACTAAGAAATTTAATATATATATTCCATTTGAACAGTAATATTTGAGATTTTTACTAAGAAATTTAAGATTCAAATCTTGAAAGGGTGCAATTTGAGATTGGAGGAGAGGAACCCTTAAATATTCTTGAAAGATTTTTCATTTTAAAAAAAAAGTTTAATTTGGAGTCCTCTGAACTTGTTCATAAATTAGCTAAAAGGCTAAAACTAACGAAATAGTACTTCTTCAAAATGAGATTTGGTTATATGTATATATCTGTGTGTGTGTGAAAAATCAGGCTAATACTACTTGAAAATTGAACAAATCAATGCAGGAAATGAGGAAAACAAGGAAAAATTAATTGGCCCCATAATAGAAAGGTGCTATAAAGAATATCTTGGAGAAGAAGCAATCAAGAAAATTCAGTCAGCTGATCATGACCCTCAGTCATCAACTAATGCACCGAGATTATTAAAGGGAGATTTCTTTCGAGCAGTATCCAAAACTGTGGAGTATATATTTATTAACCATCTTCTTCTTGCATTATTTTTCCTCTTGGCTTTAAATTTTAATGTTCTTGAGAAATTATATTAATGTTCATATAATAGGAATTAATTACTTGCTTCTTATTACTATTACAGACAAATTAACGTAAGCCTTAACAGCACGCAATTCCGTCTCCCAGATAGAGAAAAACTCAAGGAAGTTTATGATGTAAGCATTAACATTTTTCTCCTCCATTACAATTTTTTGGCTACAAGGAGGATCAATCAAATATCCGATGTTAAGCTAGCTTTAAACATTTTATGATTCTTGTTTCGGTGTCTAATTAAAGTCGTCGTCAAGGGTTGACTCGACGAAGATTTGTTAAATGTGCAGAATTGTGTTTAATTATGTTTGATTAATTAGTAACAATATTAGGCATGTTATTATTATTAATATTAATATAATTATATCATGAATTGCAGGGACACTTACTTCACAAAGACAAAGAAGAGCCATTGAAGAAGGATGAATTTAAAAAGATCCTCCAGGAAGTAATAATTCATTCAGGGTTTACAGGATTTGGGTCAAAAGACACATTCCTCTTCATCTTTGGGATTCCTTTAATAACATGGTTCGTCAAGCAACAAGTAGCCCCTAAATCGGTCCCAAATAATGTCTTCATCCCTGTGGTCACCTCTGCCTCTGTTTACCTTCTAGCTAAACTTAACAAAATATGAGGATCCATCATCCATCCATATATGCCAGGTTGTTTGATCAATTCTTAATTGTGTCCTTCCAATTCATGTAACATTTGCAAGTTATGACACTTTCAATGAGAGAGATGTAGTTTGATTGCTATTCATTGTTTAACCAAAAAAATGATATTTTCAGTTTTTTTTTTTTTTTTTTTGGCTGGTTATCGCATGAATCAAGTTTGTATTTACCATTTAGTATTTTTAGGATGCATGGTTAGAAATTATCAGTTGTTATTAATTTCAGTTAGAGTTCCTGATCAGTTTGTATAAAAGTACGTATAGTGCGTATAATTTCTTTGTCAAAATCATTTCCGAAATAAAATTAATTAGTAATAAAAATTGAAAGGATGCTTTTGTTCTAAGAATAGTAAAAAGTCCCTCGATTTCTCCTGTCCCATCAAAGTTCCCGTTTTTAGAGGCTGTAGCTTGGAGATAGATAAGTCTCTCTATTTTATTTTATTTTTTTCAAAAAAAGGGGGAAAAAAACAGAGAGAAAGGAGGTGGGGAGATATTTGGACCTTAATCATCCAAGGTTTGGCAGTCGGTTCCTAGTACATACTAAAATTAGATGGGTTCTGATCTATATATATATAGGTGTTTCCTCCTTAATTAACCATGCATCGGGATTCAACTATCAAGTTAATTAAGAAGTAAAATTCTTAAATAAAAATGTCTAATTAATTCCAACATGAATTAATGCATGACTTTGTTTTGATCAGAGCATGCAGGTGACTTTAATCTTGATCATATGTGAATGCTAACCCCAAATATCGTATATATGTCTATAAAAATACCAAGTAATTATAAGACAATTATTATATGTAATTTGGTATAATTAATCCATCCATCAAAGTGATCTTGACCGTGCATCTATCATGAATTTAAACCGATTTGCATCTCACAAATATATATATATATATATATATATATATATATGATGAATAACATATGAGGATCGATCTAAACCGATATATTTGTATTTATCAAAATATCATAAAAAATAAATAAAAATAAATTTTATCTGTTGATATTGAGACTACGTCCTTCAAAATTGCCCCTATGACAGATGTCTCATTTACACCATTACTTTTACAAAAAAAAATGATGTGCACCGGTAGTAAAAATAAAAGAGCAGTTCAGAAAATAAATAAAATAAAATGAGGGGCAAAATATTAACTCAGGCGTTTGTTTCTGTACGAGAAGAAAAGGGTACATTTCCTTGTTTCCATCGCTCTTTTCGCTCCCTTCACAAAAACAAAAAGCAAAAATAAAAAAGACAGAGAATTTGTAAGATCCAACATTCTTTGCTTGTTACATTTAATCCCATTTCTTTTCAAATTCATATTGATTTTACCACGTTGTTCTTCATCTTTTTTGTGCTCATCATCATGATCTCATGTCATGTTTGTGTCTTAACGTGAAGAACAAGGCATTGCAAAAAATGAGCAAAGAACAAAGCAGTACCGTTTTTAGGGCATGGGAGGCCACAATACGCAAGACACAAGCTGCAAAGAAACGAGCAAATAGCATCTTTGGCACAATCTCTATAGCTCACGCCGAAGATGACGACGACGACGACAATGATGGTAGAAACTTGGCGGAGCCTTACCATGCTGAGAAAATTTTGCCTAATGGAGATTATTATACAGGGCAATGGTATGATAATTTCCCTAACGGACAAGGCAAATATTTATGGACCGATGGGTGCATGTACGTCGGAGAGTGGTACAAGGGCAAAACGATGGGGAGAGGAAGGTTTAGTTGGCCTTCTGGGGCTACTTATGAGGGAGAATTTAAGAGTGGATATATGGATGGGATTGGTACGTATACCGGGTCTAATGGTGCAACGTATAGAGGACAATGGGTTATGAACATGAAACATGGTCATGGTTTGAAGCATTTTTCGAATGGAGATTGGTATGATGGCGAATGGCGCCGTGGATTTCAAGAGGGAAGTGGGAAATATGAATGGAAAAATGGTAACCATTATATAGGTGAGTGGAAGAACGGTTTGATGTGTGGTAAAGGAGCTTTTGTGTGGACAAATGGGAATAGGTTTGATGGGTATTGGGAAGATGGCTTGCCTAAAGGTAATGGAACATTCAAACGTCATGATGGGAGTTTTTATGTGGGAAATTGGAGTAAGGATCCAAGTGAACAAAACGGGACTTATTATCCTTCAGAGTCATCAGTACAAGAAGATCTTGAATGGGATCCTCAGGATGTGTACAAGGTTCATTTGGCTGATGCTCAAGTTTGTCCTGGGGAGAAGGTTTCGATATTGCCATCACAGAAGAAGCTTGCAGTTTGGAATTCATCAAAAGGCGGTGGTGGAGAGAAGCCTAGGAGGATGTCTGTTGATGGGAGGGTAAGTGTGGGGATAGAGAGGGCATCTGATAGAATGAATATGTTGGAGGGAGAGGATAATAATGTCGGTGATCGTGGGAGATTTTCGGATGCTGATTTGTTGGGTTTACAAGCCGAGGAAGGGATTCCGAGGGGGATGCCAATGCGAGTACCAAGAGCTTCCAAGAGACAAGGAGAGACAATATCCAAAGGGCATAGGAATTATGATCTTATGCTCAATCTTCAGCTAGGAATCAGGTATCCCTTACACTTTCTAGGCCGTTTTTATGGAGTTCAACTACTTTGATTCAATGCTAGTTTGTAATATATATATATGTTCTTGATATTTTTTCAATGCTGATCATCTAGAATGCCATTTATGGCTCCCTCAGATGAGTTAATGGGGCAATCTTAGGATCGATTTGTACAATTTTCAATTCTTCTGTTACTCATTATGGATAATGATATGGAGTGATTGCACAGACATTCTGTTGGAAGGCCTGCTCCAATTGCGTCCCTTGACCTGAAGGCTTCGGCTTTTGATCCTAAGGAAAAAGTATGGACCAGATTTCCTCCAGAAGGAAGCAAGTACACTCCGCCGCACCAGTCAACTGAATTCAAATGGAAGGACTACTGCCCATTGGTTTTCAGGTATTTACTCTGCATTATATATACTTGCTGCGGCTGTTTCTTCTGTCAAAAATATTGCCACTGATTCTGTCCCTCTTCAGGACTCTGAGGAAGTTGTTTAAGGTGGACCCTGCTGATTACATGCTGTCCATCTGCGGAAATGATGCGCTTCGCGAACTCTCATCTCCTGGAAAAAGTGGTAGCTTTTTTTACTTGACAAATGATGACCGATATATGATAAAGACAATGAAAAAATCAGAAGCAAAAGTGAGTCATAAAGTTTTCTGCTTACATATATATATATATCTGTTAGAAAATCGACTCTAGCTATTAGCCACGGTCAGATTACATTTTGGTTTACTGTGCAGGTGCTTATAAGGATGCTTCCTGCCTATTACAACCATTTCAGATCCTATGAGAACACCTTACTGACCAAATTTTATGGTCTGCATTGTGTTAAGTTAAATGGGCCTGCTCAGAAGAAGGTATACTCGCAAGTACCATTGCTAGACAGAATAACTTCTTCCGTTAGAAATTCGCATGAAACAACAAGGAAATCATTAGCATGCATTTTAGTATACGCAAATATAAAATGCAGTTGATGATCTGCAGGTACGCTTCATTATCATGGGAAATCTCTTCTGTTCTGAATATACCATTCACAGACGCTTCGACTTGAAAGGATCTTCCCTTGGTCGAACAACGGATAAACCTGAGTCAGAGATTGAAGCAACCACTATCCTTAAAGACCTTGATTTGAACTTCATATTCAGACTACAGAAAGCTTGGTTTCAAGAGTTTTGCAGGTGATAGTTTAACTGTTGAGTATATTTAGCCGATATTAATTACTAAAGAGTCTAGCAGTTCTGTAGTTTATAATGACTGGTAGATTCTTTTCTTTTTATGTGATTTCTTGGAAGCCAACCTACATGGATTAATGCTATTTTCTAGTTCCCTTCATTTACTTCTGTTGAGTGTGTGTAATTGATTTTACAGGCAAGTGGATAGGGACTGTGAGCTTCTTGAACAGGAGAGAATTATGGACTATAGTCTTTTGGTGGGTCTTCATTTTAGAGAAGTATCACAAAATGGAGATCTGATTCCCTCCGGACCTACAGGTTATTTTTCATCCTTTCTTATGATTTTGATTATCTGATTTTCACACTAAAGTTCTCAACAAGCAAGAGATAGTTTAAGTTTTTTATCGGCAGGCGAATCTGAAAGTGACGATGGACCTCGCCTTTCGAGAGCAGATATGGATCAGCTTCTTCTAGACCCTGCCATGTAAAATACCCTTTTCACTGGACCATTACACAAACCTTAAATTTGTTTTGCCATTAATTATGATTCAAAGTTCAGGACAAGAACTTGGCATTTGATGATGCCAACTGTTTATTGGGTAATGCAGGTGGTCTCGAATCAAACTGGGCATAAACATGCCAGCGCGAGCTGAAAGAACTGTAAGAAGAAATGACAGTGAATTTCTGCTTGTAGGAGAACCAACTGGAGAGCTTTATGAAGTTGTAATGTTCTTTGGTATAATTGACATACTTCAAGACTATGACATTAGCAAGAAGCTAGAGCATGCATATAAGTCCATCCAGTATGATCCAACTTCAATATCAGCTGTCGATCCAAAGCAATATTCGAGGCGATTTCGTGATTTCTTATTCAAAATTTTTGAAGAAGAAACTTGAAGGTTAAACTTAAAACTTCCAGTACTTAAAAAGCATGGTGTCATTGGTTGCCACAGAAGGCCTGTTCCTGCCGAAGTATGATTGAGGCTGTAATTTATCATTGCACGTTCAAGTGTGATCTTGAGAGTCGAGTTTCAAGTTATTCGAATCGATTTGTTCATTCATTCCTGCTTTCTATGTCATAGATATATTAAAGGTATAGCAAGTTTATGATCACCGGAAATGGTGAAAAAAAGATCCATATAGCCGACCCCAACTAGTTTGGATCAAGGCTTTATTGTTGTCATTGTTGTTGATAAAATTATAGGAAACTGTTATAGCCAGGAGATGTATTAGATTGTATTCATTTCTGATCAATCCTTATCTCTCAAGAAACAGAGAGGCTTCCCTGAGATTAATTTTTGGCATAGAGAAATGGTTCAGATTTCTGTGTATGCATTATAATGGAAATTTTTATGAATCAGCATCTGTTTTACATTACAGCAGAAATAAGCACAGATAAACAGCTTCTTGGTGAGGCTATACGATTGACACAGGCATCCAATTTTCCTTATCTTAATTTGTGCTAAAATTTAATAGGTGGAAAAAAAAAACAAGTGGAAAAATTTAATAGGTGGTTTGGACATTGTAGTTAAATTATACTAACGTTGTACTTTATAAATCTAGATATGTACTTTCAGTTTAAACTTCTCTTGACATCAGTTTCTGATCAATGGCTTCATAACAAAACTTATGCGGCCATAGGTAGAGGTCCGTAAGGTTGATAAAGAAGTCAGGTGGTTCGGTTAAAGCAGTTATGAGCTGACTGACATGTCGCTTAAATGGTTGTGAAATGAATTGTGGGCTGAAAAAAGTAGAGGTGCTTCAGTCTCATGGGTTGCTCTCCCAGGACCATGTAATTCCTAGTCTGCTAATGTTCTTGTTTCGGGCTTCTATCTTGTTATTATAATACAACGCATATGTGTGTGTGCGGGTGTACGATTTTAGAATTTTTTTAGTTTTGTGCTCATTCATTTTACAGCCAAAATATCAATCTTATGAAATTCTATCCAGACAATATCAGTATTGATAATAGAAAAGAATCAAAACAGAATGATGGAAATTAATATAATAATCCCTTTATCATTGACAATATGAAAGGATCAAAACCAATGTTATTAGAACCAGATCGGTTGGTCTGACCAATGAACCAATCACTAACCCAGTCCGTTCCGTATTTTTAATTGGATTGTTTAAGCGATGAACCGGTTAGAATCATTGATCCAGCCAATTAGATCGGTTCTTAGATGACATGTCATGCGCTTTTAGGAAATATAAGAAAAACTAATGCTTCCCTAACAATTTAAACACTGGACCTCTATTGCAAATGGACGCATGCTCACCAACTAGACATCAAGGCTTTTGTGTATCAATGGTGTACTATAAACACAGATTCTTCTAAGTTAATCATTCATCTTTGAGTCAAAATCTTGTCCGGTTCTGATCACATTGATCAAGATAGGTTTTATTTATTCTTGGATTGGGCATTTATTTATCACCAACATACTAATCGAAATATCGCTCTCTCTCTCTCACACATATGTGTATATATTACTAACAAAAAAAATAAATAAATAAATCAAGGAACCACGTATGCTTCGAATTCTTCACGTCCAATGTGTCTCTATTAATACATTTGTACATAAAGTCAGCTGGTTTTAATTTTTTGCTTCATCGCACTTTTTTTTATTTAGTTTCACTAATAATTATTGTCATGGCATTAATGAAAGACCCCGGTGAATCTTGGATTACGTAATAAAGGTGGATTACCGTCGTCTCGTCTCTAGCCATATCCCATTTCACCAAGCGTTCTAAATTTTAATGATAAGGCTATTCTCATGTTTATTTTATCAACCTAAAACAATTTTTAAGCATTAATTATAAATTTTTAGTTCCTATGAGCTATCATTTACAAACCTCATTCTCAAAAATAACTTCTTAAAAGAAAGGACAGTAATCACCTTTAATAAACGAGTTGTCTTTCTCCTCTACTTGACCACCAGAGCATGTCGGACCACCACAAAACATCCAAAACGATATCCACAAAAGATAACAAATGAAATAAAAAAATAATAATAATGACACTAAAATTCAAAGTTGGTGGACACCGACCGTGGTTGCAACATTAAAAAGTAATTTTAAGTTTACACAATCATGTATCATAAGACTTCAAATATTTGTTTATGGTATTGCTAAATTCACTAATTAATATGTGTTATATAATAGGTATTGATAATTAATGAAGGATTTATTGATAATTATATATAAAAAAGTAGTGAGAATAACAATTTAGTTGGTAAATTTAGCAATATCATTTATTTATTATTGTCCGACATTCCAAACGCAAATTTTATTCACAAACCTTCACAAAGGAGATCTCTAAATTTTTATGGTTGCACAAACAAACTATCTTGAACTCCAAAACTCAAAGGCGACTCACAAACTACCTTCGATGTCCAACTACACATCATAGGAATTTTGGCAATGTGTAGTAGCATTTTGTCTTGACATGCTCGTGTTTCCTCCGAATATGCAAAATAGCTTCTATTTCATTCCACCGGACAGAGGACATTGGCGAACCATACATCTCCATACACGAGTCATGGACCAATTCATCCCATCGAGAAAACGTACATCGGTAGCATAAATTTCACATTCCCATCCTCTATCTTCTTAATGATCGTCGTTTATAGAGACCTTAAACCGGTGCAAGCTATTTAAGAAATAACAAACTCACTTTGCTAGGTCACATTGATTGAGTAATCAAACACAATGCAAATAAGTGTATTAGCATTTAACTATGTGAAGGATATAAAATCCGGTTAAACATGTCGATAAGATATAAATAGATGACACCTAAATCGGATATTAAATCTGTTTCTTCTCTAAAGGACTAGCATTTATCTATTTCGTAAGGCATCGGATCACATGTGAGGTTATTTGTCAACCTTCTTTAAACTTTGTATCAAATTTTCTCGCACATTTCAATTACCTCTCGCTAATCGCTCGATTCGAGTAAAAACAAACTTCACTTGCTCAAATGATAATATTATATGTGTTCAAGTAACACTCACTAGTCCCGACATCGTTGAATTCATTTTTTCTTCAAAATAAAATAAAATTATCCGACCTCTAAATCAATGGTAACTCGTTCTCGGAATGGATGTGCATGAAAAAAATGGCAACCATTTGCATTAGAAGAATCGGTAAATATAGATGCAAAAAAAAAAAAAAAAAAAGGGGAAAAGGAGAGCGGGAAAGAGAGAGAGAGACCTATTTAAACTTAAGCACCGATAATACTCCAAGACCAACCATTCTTCAATAATGATTTCAATTTCAACATTTGCAATTATACGTAAATGGAGATTGCTTGGTCATGCCACATAAACAGATTGTTTACCCATAAGATATTCTTCATAACCAATTAAAAAAGGATCGACAAGATCTTATAGGAAAAGGTTTGTTGCAATAGATGCTTCATATATTGTCATCAATCCTATGAACTTACCACTTTATCCTCTTAATGATCTCACACAAAGAAACAACCATCCCAAAATGATTGTCTATGATGTTGTTGCGAAGTGGAAGAGACTCGCTAGCCTAGTTTTGCAAGTCGCGGCTATCGTCACTCCCGGTATAGTTTCGGACGATCGAAAACCGGTGGTTCATGGTCCAACCAACCATTCTAACTTTCAATTTTCATTGGAACTATTTGGAGTTGCTTGCCAGGAAATGGAAACATTCTTATTCCCGTTAAGCCATCATTCACTTTTATATTATGATAAGATTATGCAAAGCAATTGGTAGAACCGATAAACATATTCGCTTTTACTATCAATGGTGGCTAATATCCATCAAGCCACCTATAATCATCCATCTATAAATCATAGTTGTCCTAAGTTATGTTAGAAAAGATCTCACATATAGGCTTAGGATAAACATAGCTAAATCCAGATGGAGGACCAAGGTGCCGACCATAGCGGTTCATCGGATTAAATCTTGAACTTGCCGACAAGGCCGATGATGCCTTCAAGGACGTACTATCAAAACCGACGATAGAAAACATGAGTGGTTCAAATTTTGAGTATACTACATTATCAAAAACCTTATAGGATAGTTGGTTACTAGCATTAAGATCCACAAAAAGTGAGGGAGGAAGTGAAATTATAAAAGGCTATAAAACTACTCGGTGTTCTTGTAACCTGACCTTCATAAAAAGCCTATTCTCAACTAAATTCAAGTTGTTCAACAAATTGGCAATGGATATTTTAGGTTCGACATGCCATTTTGAAGTCGTAGGTTACAATGCCTAAAAATACAAGGGCAACAAGAGCGGAATATTTAAGGCACATTGTAATTCTATCGAAACCATTTAGCATAAAACGAGTATCAAATGTGATAGGAACGGATCCTATATAACTTTCCTTGTCGCCTTATGAGGCGTTACTTAGAACCTCAAAAGAAGACAACTCAAGGGCATTGCCATCAAAGTGCTTATCGGTTACCGGTGGCTTAAAAAAAATAACTTCATCTTTTTCTTCATCTCGTGTATAATCGAGTCTTTGGCCGTGATGATCGTTCCACACTCGATTTTCTCATAGTTAGATATCTTTGCCTCGAAGCATTTAAAGAAGACATTTTAAAAGAAGTAACAACCTTAAAATTATTGGTTGTTTAAGGCTCACTACCAATGGTAAATTTCTTCAACTCGAATCAAAATACATGGCTTGTTGCCCAAACCAAACTAGGATTTCAAAAGCTTTTTCAAAAGATATAATCCTCTCGAAGATAAGTCAACATCACTTACGATAGATTGCTTCATTAAAAAATAAAGAATCAATTATGCTCGGAGCAAGAGGCAAAAACCTTTTCAATTCGAAGTCCTCCCACAATGCAAGCTCGTTGGAGGTTTCACTTTCATCATACCTGCTCATATTAGAAAAATAAGCATCTTCTCTATCCACATCAATGGGCATGGACCCATTTGACGAAAGCTTATTCAAAAAAGAAATACAATTATTCCAAAAGAACAATCTAGCAGCAGATTAATGCTCTTCAATTTTGATGCCGGTAGTAAAATCTGGATGGTAGGCTAACCACTCCAAAAAACCAAGCACTCTGTGCAACGAAAGCTTACCAAAGGATCATGCAATCGCAAGCATCTTGTGACACCCTCGGCTCCCTTATCAATTACCAAAAAGGCGTGGCTAGGTGCGTTATAGTTTAGGGACTAAAGTTTTAAATTTACTCCCATACAACAAGGCTAAGAAAGAAAATATAAAATATTAATACAACGTAAATGAAGAGAATTACAAACGTCATAAAATCTTTACGGTGTTATTTACCCACCATTAGACACCATGTCTCGTAATTACAAGCAAAAGTGTATCCCATATTTTTCATGTCACACATGAGCCCCTTTCTAGAAGAAACCGGTAGCTTCTTTATTAGCACTACCATCGTTTTTATCTCGCCATGGCAAAAAATAATAACAATGTGAGTCAAAGCCCAGTAAGTAGGATGATACACATGAGATATAATACAATTCTATCACTTAGTCTTTTTCATTTGATTTTAATTCGGGTACCCTAGGTATTAGTAAGTCTACTATATGCTCGATCCTTGATGATTACCGAATCACATACTCGCTAGTAAAGAAATTATCCCTTATTGTAGCACACGGTTAGCAAAATTATCCATCGCCTAACGGTGTATTCAATTAATAGAGCACGCACACGCCTTCATTACTAATACCTATTTAATCTCATTAGGTTATCAAACCTATCCAATTTCTAAACCAAGTCGATTACCAAACTCATTATTTCTAGACTCGGTTATGTTTCTCAAGTCAAACCACCCTCAAATGCATATGATGCATGTGATGATTCCTTTACCATATTTCACCAAATCATGGGTATCAAACCTTTAATTTCCATACAACATTCAAAATCATCATGGTCACACAAGGAAATACAAGACCTACCTATTAGGGTTAATCAATTTCTGTATTTGAGTCCTAGGAATGTGTTGGAGCGCTTTCGAAATGGAAATTCCCTCCTAACTCGAAATTGAGCCTTAATGGCCGAAATTTGATTCTAATAGATCTAGGTCTTACTTTTGATTTTTCTTGTAAACTTACCTTCCCACACTTCATTTTATACTTATTGAGATGTCATTGGACCATTTATTATGGAGTTAGATGACTCGAAACTCAATTTGTAGAAAGTAAGGTTTAGTTCGAATGTTTCCTAGTCTAAACCGAAATTTTTGTTTTTCTTAGAATATAACCTTTCTATACTTTATTTTATACTTATTTAGATGCATTTGAACCATTGATTCACAAATTAGATGAGTGGAACTCTAAACCTAAATTTTTAGGTTTTAGGCCGAATGGGTCCAAAAAGGGTAAGGGATTGTCTTTTGTTTCTAGGTCATTTCTTTTCATCTTAACTTACTAAAGTATACCTAAGTGGGTTATCTTGGAGGTCTAAATCTTTAGGTCCATAAAATAAATCCAAACTTTGGCCATTTTGGCACCTAGGTCGAATGCTTTCCGAAAGAGATCCAAGCCTATTTTGCTTTAAACAAGCCTATCTAAAACAAACCCATCCACACACATTTAAACATACATCATACATAGATCTCACATCAATACATCAACATACCAACCATCCATCATCACACATGTATAAAACAACCATAAATTTCCCCACTAAATGGGCATCAAGCCATCTAACACATATTACAAACATAATCAACATAAACAACATAACAGAAAGCCTTCACCAACCACCTTATTTAAGCATATATACAAGAAATTTAGAGCATAATATAGAACAACATAAACCTACTTACATTTTTTTAGCTTTCGTAAAGATTGCCTAGACTTTCTCTTTTTTTCTTCTTATTTCCTTTTTCTTTTTCGTCTCTCTCCTCTCTCAAGTCCTTTTCCGTCCTTCTCTTTGGTAACTACGATTTTGTTTCAACAAAAATGACAAAGTTCATGGTAAAAAATGCCAAATGATAAAGACAAGATAAAGGCAAGTGGCATGTTTGACTTCCAAAAATGGTGAGGTGACACAAATTGGAATATGGTGGAAAATTAGGTATCCACCTTGGAACTAACAAAAGGTAACTAAAGGTAACTAAATTAACCAACTTCCTAAGGTCATTTAGTTCCTAAAATTCGACCCATGCACCATGTTTGGGAGATTCTTTCACTTGCATTGTCTTTTAGATATTTGTTATGGGAAAAATAAATAATGACTAGCTAAATACCCAAAAAGGTTATTCCTATAAACATTTTCATAAATATTAGATCCTTTAAGACCACAAAATATAAAAGAAAAATGTCTCATAAATTACACCCACATCCAATAGATAATTATGGATACTCCAGGAGATATTTTTCTCGAGAATTTAAAATTTCAGCATGCCTAAAAATTATTTTATTATTATTATTATTATTATTATTATTATTTGACTTTTCCCTACATTTCGACACTCTCCACCCCTTAAATAATTTGTTTTACTTTATAATACGTTCTAATATATGTTAAAGGAAATAAATGGTAACTAGATAGGTTACCCGATATACATCTCATAAGCCTCGGATAAACACTACGCATTGTGCACATCACAAAATATGAAAATGGCACAAGTAATCACACAAAGACTCGGTATATGCCAATATAAATATTTCAAGTGTGTATAATTATGTAGTTAAGGAGTTTCACGAGAGTTACACATATCTTAACAATGAGCCTCATAAAGTCAAAGATAGCAATAAAAGCATTCGAACCAAAACTCGAACGTTACAAGATTTCAACAAATGAATCATGCTTAGTTCCATGATTCACATCGTGGACTATGAATATAAGAATGGATATAAGCCTAACAATCATGAGCCCATTATTATTAGCACTTGAATAAAAATTATACTCTTCTTTTGGACCGGATGACAAAAGTTCAAGCAAGTCACTTTTAACCATTAAAAGAACCTCTATAAAAGTCTCCAAACTAGAAAAATAAATACAAAAGGATGAGATTTCTTGACAAAGCAAAAATAAACCAATCTTATAATGTATAACAAAAAAATACCTTGTGCATGTAAATAGAATGCCATTGAGTCGGACAAATCGAATTCGAAAGCTTTTAATGTTTTAGGAATGCTCGGATGTGTTTTTCTTTAGAGCACTTCGCATCTTTTTTATTGTCTTTCAAGGGATACATTTTGCTACCCTCTTACCGATTTGCCTCGTTACATTCTTCATCGATGAAGCTTTGGCATCCCCATGTAGCCGAGAAAAGCTTTGATGATTATGTCAAGAAAAATATGGTAATGATTAATGCATACCTTCTAGATTCTAGAATAATAAACTTTCCCCGTCCCGGTACTTTTATTCTCTTTTTTGTTATTACCAAATGTTCAGCGTTCAAAACAAATTTCTAGGGGACCTACCTAAACAAAAGGAAATACATGAAGACTTCAATTATTTCAATACCTAGTACATATATACCAATATACCTTCTCAAATGCAATAATTAAGTTATCTCTAGCAGTTGAAAAGGGGTTGTTAATGGCTAAACTCCTAAAGTAGCAGATACACTCGCCTTAAATTCATCCGCCGAATAAGTAGCCAATATTCCAAGCTGAGATACACAAAAAACAAGTTGACAAGTTATAACAAATTGATTGACTAACCTAAAAGAAAAGGTTATAGGTGACCACAAATTCCGTGAAATGAGAACCATATAAGGTAATAATGAATAAAAAAGGTAAACCTAATGATGAGGGTTATCACTTGAAGGCCAAAATGAAGAAGCTTGCTTATAAGTAACTTGATGCGATTGAAAAATCTTTGGTTTTTTAGTCTCCATCACCATATAAGCCTTTATAACATGAAAGGTCACCAAGGTAAATCGGAAAATGATGGTAGGAAACCATGTCATTCCTTGCCTTAGTAGTTTTATTTCCTCCTCTAGACATAATGATTTCACTCTCCACATTATTTGAAAAAGAACCGAGAGGAAGACCATACTTTGCTTTGATTTTCAATATTAAATCATGATAAAATCCAATTGCTTCAAGAAAAAAAAAGCTTTAAATTGAGAATGAACTTTTGTAATTCGATCACGTTGTACATGCGTTGTTCCATTCTAGGATGTAGCTGGACCACTTGAGTCCGGAGCGACTTTGTAGTGAGTTTAAAACTCCTCAATACGCCGGTAATGCAACTACTACAAAGAATATTCTACTCATATCGCTTGAGAAAGCATGATCTTCTAGGATAATTATTTCATAATTCTCTTGCATCCGTTTCCAAACAAGCAAGATGTGATGGAATTCTTACTTGGGCTAACCTCCAAAGCATATTCCCTAACTCAACATTCTCGCAGTAAAAAACACGGAGAATCACTTTCTTATTCTATTTTCAATCAAGCGGACATAAACCTAGACTTTTTTTCAAGATAACATGCATGTGTATACATAAGAAATTATAAATCTCCGTAACTTATAGTGTTGTTGAATTTCGCTATGCCAACGGTTGGATTTAGTTTCAATGGGTATGATACTCTTACATGCTAACGGGTTCAAAAAAAGTTACAGCTTTTCAAAGAAATAAATTCATTTTTTTTCCAAGTATTTTAGCTATTATAAAATTCAACATGATTATTTTGGTAAAAAAAAAAAATTATAAACGAGTAGTAAGAAAAGAGTTGAAAAGGATAAAATCATATTCATACAATTCAAGATACCTAGGTAAATAACATCCTATGCAGTAATATATAGGATCAATTGCTAGGATTAATTGCAAGCTTAAGATCCATTGCCTTTTCTTATGCAATGATTAATTAAACCCAAAACAAAATTCAAAAAAGAAAACATCGTGAGCGGACACAAGTTCAAAGATAAGGTAACCCGTCAATAAACCTCAATTCTCAAAATAGCAATATTTAAAGAACCCTAAACAAAACTACTTCTAAACATTTAAAATAAACAACAACAACAACAACAACAACAACAAACATTGTTGTCTAGACGTTAAGCATAGTCCCCCAATAGAAACCGTCATAGTCCATCAAAATCTTGTCATAAAATTTCCCCTACAAATTATACAAGAAGCGTCATTAACAAAACGTATTTTGGTCTATCTATAATGATCATGAACTAACCAATTATAAACTATAAAGATAAAATCACGAAAGGAACACAAATTTTGGGCTTGACTTACAAGTTAATTAATTACGTAATTAATGATTGCAAAAAAGATAATCAAATACGTGGAATTATTAAATACCGAATGAAAATATGAAGCAATTAAAGAAATAAAGAAAACAAAGAAAAATAGAGAGCGATCAAACCCTATATTATATATTAGGGTAAGAAGATTTTTTACCGTGTTTCTTGAATCTAATTTTGAATTGAAAATCGAAAATGCGAATATAGGGAATGGAATGTGAGAGAAAGTATGTGGGATATTTTTATTGAATTCCCGGGGAGGAGGAAATAATAAATTAGGGCATCTTATTCTCTTAGATATTTTATTTTTAGAGTAGGACTTGGATTTAATTGGGTTTTGTCGCTTATAATTTACTATCGCAATAAGTTAAACAAGGAGCATTGACGAAGGGTTGTTTTTATCTACTGTTGGGTTGGACCTTTAACCAATGCAATTAGCTTTCTCTCATTTAATTAATTAAAATAAATAAATAAATAAATTCATTGATTGGCTCGGACCTTCGAAGATTGGTTCAAATGGTAAGAAAATAATTAGTAGTTAGTTTAAGATTTCAAGTTAAACAAGGGTTGTATAGAAGATATTATTAGCTCCATCTAGGGTGGAGAAACAGGAAACAAAAGGGAGCTTCTTAATTGTTTCACAAAAATCACTATAGAAGTAGTTCTACCATATAGAAGTATTGTATATTTTAGCTTTAGCTTTAACCCAAAAAAAAAAAAAAATCTTCGCATTAGTTTTAGCTTTTTAGGAGTTTAAATTTGCATTTACCTCTAAATTTTAGTTCTACTCGCTAACTTTACTTACAAAGTGTTGTATATTTGCCATATAGAAGTTGTGGGATTTCTCTACATGCTAACCAATATATATATATATATATATATATATATATATATATATATATATATATATATATCACATGCATCTCAAGTAATTTAATCTTATGGTTTCTGTATTATCTGCATAAAACTTTTTTTGCTAGGAGTTCATTTTGTATGGGCTTTTAGTTTAATGTTTCTATTCAACCGATCGTGATTATTAACAAGAACTTATTGAATCAATCGTTGAGGCTCATAATAAATTAAAAGTTGCTTCTGCTACTCAGTCTAAATCCTTAAGCATTATACAAGTACGTGCTGTAGGAATCACTCCTTACCTTTTGAGCGGAATTGCTACAACATGAGCGTTCTTCTTAACAAGAATATATATGTGTGTGTGAGAGAGAGACAGAGATGATATGCATATTTTCTTATCAAAAACGAATTGCTATAAATTGAATAGGATTAGCGTGTGTTTAGTGATGCGATGCAAATGTTTATAAAAAAAAAATCAAATTGATGTTAATGTTTTTTTAGGCATGTTTTTATATTGTTGACATCAGCATGTCAAAACTAAAAAAAAAAAAAAAAATCAAATCAGCTTATTTCTAAACACAGTGTTAGAAGTCTCATAAAGCTTGACCTTCTACTCTTTTCTTAAAATTGTGAGATATTCAGCCCAAGATGAGAACGGATAGCTCCAGGCCTCTGGTATCCACGAAATCAATTGGAGCATGATCACCTTACAATCCCAGGTTACCAAAAATTGGAGATTAAATGGATGAAACTCGTGCGGCGGTGGATGGTGCTAGTGGTGGGGCATGAAAAAGACTCGCGTCTGGTAAGTTTTTGTGAGAGTGAGGAAACCTGAAAGGGGCCCTTTGGGATGGCTGGCTCTTAAATCTCGTAAAAGTCCATTTTTCAGGGCCAAAAGAAACATAATCGTTTTGTTTTTGATCTTTTGTTTTTTTTTCGGTCAACGAGACAAACCTTGCGTCTAGAACATTTTCTAATTCTTGTGTCTTCTCTCGAGGGGTTTTAATTTGGAGACAGGCAGCATATCTCAACATATGCAATTGGTTGCTTCAAACCAATGAGAATTGGACACCTATTAGTTGGATCAACGCCTTGAATTCCAAACCATTTGCTTAATAAGTAGTAACAGTAGTAATAGTAGTAGTAATAATAATCAACTGAACATACATGCTATGTTTTATTGATACTAGTTTTTTTTACATATACTTCACACACACATATATATACATATAACTAATTTATAATGTTTTTTTTTCTAATTTCTAATAGACTGTTTATAATTATTTATTAAAATGCTTACTAAATAAGCATGGTTGATTTTCAAGTTATTATAATTAAATTAATTTGTTTAATTTTTAAACTATATAATTTTTTAAAACTGGACTTGAGAAAAATTAGGAACATAAACTGAATTATCTTTCAAGATAATTAATAATTTAATGGTTAGGATAAATATGTATAGCTCCTAAAAAATAACAATTGCTAAAAAAATTCACTTAACGTTATAATATAATATTATAATGATTTTTTTTTATTTAAAACGCTTATTTTCAATTATATGTGATTTGACTATAAATTAAAAATGCATATATGAATAAAAAAGTTTACAATTTTTTTTTATAATAAATTTGTCTTATTTGATATTATCACTATTTGTTTAGAAGAGTAAAAAGTAGGTAAGACAATAATAAAAAAAATAACTTATGAAATTTAACTAAGGATTCAATTTAGTGATTTGATAACTTTTTATGTGATTTAATTAGTTTTAGATTTTAATACTTTGTGTTTCTTATTCACTTGCTTCTAAACCTTTTTAGAGTTTTGATAGGAAAAAAAAAGGATTAATATATTCCTATCTTGTTTAGTAATGATTCAAGTAGCTTGATTTATGTTATTTAAGGGTTTTAGTGGTGTAAAAATATGAAAAACGATGTAACCCTATATTTTAAGATTCATTTAAAAAAAATAGCCTATCTTTTAGTGACTTTAGGGGCTTAATTTTATTTTTTTTTAAGAACTTTATCAATATTGGTCTTTTTATTAATTAAATATGGAGTTGGATTTATAATTTATTAGTATTGATCATATATTATAATGTTTGTGTTGTATTAAGAATCAATCAAACGTTTTTAAGTAGTTCTATAAGGAAATAATAATAACTATTGATTATGTAAATGGAATATTAGTTGTTATCGCTAACTCAACTCGTGATTAAAAATGTTAATGCTTTAACCACCGGGGGGTGACACGGTGACAAGGACTTGATATCAAGAGGTTTGCTCCTCTCGTGGTCTCGAGTTCGAGTTCGATTGTTCTATTTGGTGGTCACTCGGAGGCTTACATGGTCTCTAACTTCGGGACTCGTAGAATTAGTTGAGGTGCACATAAATTAGCCCGGATACTCGCGTTATAAAAAAAAATATTAATGCTTTAATCGTTGACCAATATAGAGAGCAATGCCGGACATCATTGATACTCGTTTTATTTTTTGAAGACGCTTTGAAAGGTCGACGGTGTGTGTTTATTTTCCATTTTGTTGGCGTGAGGCTTTTTTAAATTTCCACGATATTAATTTTGATTGTTATTGTTTTAAAAGACTAGATTAATTCGAGTTCTCTAGGTCTATTTTCTCCCTTGTGATCAAAGACCGGGTGAATAAGGTTGAAAACCATAAAAAGTACCATAAACCGAAATCTAGTCAAATGCTTTGCTCTTGATTTAGTTGCGATATTCGTGAAAAAGAATCTTTTTGAAAAAAAAAGGAAATTTTTTCAATAAATTCAGTTTTAGAAGTAAAAGACGAATTCTACCCCAATTTCATTGACCTTTTAAAGGGACTTAAAAGGGGGTAAATTAGGAATCTCCTGTTTATCTTATGTCGGCTTACTTTGCTTGCTATTTATAGCGCTCCTACGTGTCCATTAATCATGCATTACAACGTGTTGACTAATATCAATTTAGGTGACATAATCTAACGATGGTGTATATTATAATTTTCTTATTAATATAAATCTAGGTGACATAATTTAATGGTTGTGTATATTATAATTTTTTCAAATGAAATGTATTTGAATTCTAATAATTTTATTTTTTTAGTTATTAAATAATGAGAAAGTGTTACTTCATATAAATCTACGTGATATAAATAGATATAATTTTACGATTGTGTATACCAAAACTTTTTTT